ATCGTTTGCATTAAATATGTGAATTTCGTTTGCCAGTGACGGCACAAGTGTGATGGACAGGTAAGAAAGGTGGAGTTGCTACTAAACTGTGTGAGAAAATTCCCAATATATTTAACTGGCATTGTTTATGTCATCGACTCGAACTTTCAGTATACGATGTTATAAAAGATTGTACTTGAGTATCCCGTTTCCAAAGCTTAATGGACAAACTATATGCTTACTATCATTAAAGTCCCAAAAATTCAAGGGGCTTGGACAAATCTTGTGTTGAAGTAGGCATAGAAATGAAAAAAATCGGTCGCGTCTTGAATGTACGTTGGCCTGCAAGCAGTTTTCAAACTATAAAGGCTGTATGGAATAATAATCCTGGAATATATTTACATGTTAGTACAAAAAAAAGAACATGATGCGATATCAAATGGCATACGAAGTAAATTGGAATCCTCTTTTTTTTTAGAAGAACTTGGACTCTTTTACGATGTTCTTTCTGAGCTTGCAATGTTATCTTGCATATTACAGTCCAGAAAAACAACCTTAATGCGTGCCCAATCGGAAATAAATAGAACCATTAGAATTTTAGAAAGTCTGAAAGCTGAACCTGGACAAAAAGAAAAAGAAATTATAGAAGCTATTCGGAAAGAGATTCATAAGGATATCAATATTATAATAAAAAAATCAGGAGGAATCAACAGGCTACAATTTTTGCTGGATCTAGTTGACAGAATGCGGCATCACTTATTTGACGGCTCAAAAGATAGCACAATGCTAGAAGATCTTCAGGTAATAAAAATTGCAAATTATAATAATATTAAATTTAAATTTTACAATTATTTAAACAACATAAATGGCATTTAAATTAAATGTTTTAATTAAATTAAATAATTTAAATTAAGTGTTCGAAACAGCAACTAATGATGCCAGGGGAGAAGATTAAGTTAAAATAGTATCACGGAAATTAGGTTTATCCGAATTTGAAAGTGTAGTTGACTTTCGTTTAAGAAATGCTTCATCAAGTTTCATGAAGGCGTTAACCATACTCCTGACTTCAACAGCTGATTGCGAACGAGGATTTTCAGATATGAACTTGACAATAACTGATTTGAGGACTAGTTTAAACATCGAAAATGTATCAGATTTGATGTTCATCTCTACTAATGGCCCTTCAGTTGCAGATTTCAATCCACGACCTTTTGTGAAGATTTGGTTGAAAGATCACCGTTCAGCAGTTTCAGCTCCACGAGGTAAGAAACGACAAGAATTAAACGATGAAAATAAGTTGCAGAAAATACCAATGTTTTTTCTTGATTTTTTTAATATTTGTAAAGATTGACGAAATAATATACGTAATATAAAGAGGATGTATAAAAAATCTGGTTTAAAATTTTTTCCATATTATTGACACGCTATTTATCGGCTTTACTCCTATAAACCATAAGAAAAATATTTTTATTGTATTAAATGTTTATATTTGATGATACGAGTATAGTATACCAGGGGTGACCAGCGAGAAGTGAGAAGAGATTCGCAAGCCACAAAATATATTAAGAAATATGGAAGAGCCAAAATGTAAAAAAAAAAAGGTCATAGTATGGCCGCGGTTTGGTCACCCCTGTAGTATACTCTTAAAGAAATTAATGGGAACACCTCTGCCCAAGTCCAATTATTATTGCTGGTATGGCAATAATAAATTAGTACCATTTTATTCGCTCATAAACGTGTTTCGAATGTTTAGAAAGGAAACGAAGACACAGAAAAAAACACAAATATCAAAATGTTTTACAATTTTTCATTTTTATTTTTGTCAAATCGATTACAAATATAAAGTAATCTATAGTACCCACTACCTATTAGTTAAATTTTATATTATCTTAGACCTTATCTAACCTAACCAGCACTTTTCACTCGATTACTTCAACTGATTTTGATACAGAGAGAATCACTCCATGAATACTAAAACAATCGAGAACAATCGATTACATCGAACAATCGAGTATTTCGAGTATTTTCTATCGGTTTTTCCCATAATTAATGCTAATCACTAGGCTTAGGGACTTCTAGCATTTGCATACTTTTTTAATTATTGTTAAATATAGCAGAGTGTGAAATAAATTCGTTTTTCAGTATCATGATATCAGATCTAAAATTTGAATGTATATATTTTTGCATATTTGATAAATTTTGCAGGAGAGTGCATATTTTAAAATTGTTATGCTTATTTTGCATATTTTGACAAATTTTTCAAATTTTATTATTTAAAATTAAAAACTATAAGTACAAATAAAATATATACATATTTCAACTGATCGAAAAAAAATGTACAAAGAGGATTTATACTTCCAGTAATATGCTATCTGCAAACTACATACCTCTCATATCTCGTTATAATTTTTGTGTAAATATAAATACACAAATATATACATACATAATACACAAATAGTATAAATACTATAAGTCCGTATAACCCACTGGATATCAACCGGATATCGATAAAGATAGTAGTCGATATAGAATAAAAGATTATTTGTTTAGTGTTCAGCTGTTTTTGTGTATCGCTACCATTCAACGTCGAATCAAACTTAAAACGTCGTATGCATATATTTTGTAACATTGTGTAATGCTGAAAGTACAACAGTCTACGAGTAGCCGACTAAAAATTTGTGTTTCAGAGTTTAAAGATACATTTACATCCGATGGACACATTTAATAAAAAAAGAAATCTAAAATAAATAAATATTAATTTTTTTTAAAAAGTTACAATAGACTTGAAATGTGAGTAAAATTTACTTTCACTAAATTCTAATAATTTAAGTATTTTAACAAATATGTCACAGTTATCACAAAGTTAATGTTGAATTTATTATAATGATTATAAAACAAACTTGAAGTGGTATCAACGGCAATCTGCCAAAGGCTGTTGTTTCGTCATTGGCCGAACTGGTTACCAGTAGCACTCACACGGATGTCGAAAAATTCTGTGTTAACGATCGTGACAAATAGTTCAAGCACAGTTAATTGTACTAGATTTCGTAGTTATTTTTTGAATGTAAAAGGATATAATTGTTTTTAAATTTAAAAATACTTGTCAATTTTTTTTTTAATTTCTGCGTTCATGTATAGTTTATTGTTAATAAATATGTTTTTTTAGTACTCATTTATCTGAATAACAGATATCTAATACTCACACAAGTTCCCTTTAAACGTACAGCTCATATAATATTTTTTCATGTAATTGTTAAAAACGTATTACTTAATTTATATACATTTTTTTAATAAAGTATTATTTGGTCAGTAAAATTAGAAATCATTTAATTTTATGATCATCTTTCATACCTTGCTTCTCCTGTTTAAAATTATTTGATATTCATGAAAAAGCATATCAATTATATAAGTAAATAGTAGATACGTGTATATTAAATTATTGATAAAACTGGCAACATTGATTTTACTATTAATCAATGATAGTACCGACAGTAAAAATTAACAATACAATTATTATAAGATTTTTGTTTAATTATATAACTATTATCTAAGTATAATAAATCAATTAAAATAATAATAAAATAAAAATATGATTATATATAAAAAAAATACATACAATACTTTATAAATAAACAATAACATATATTAATTATCAAAACAACATTAGGGTTGCCATGTAAAATAAAAGTATACAGATATCTTCTATATGTAAAAATTAAATAATATTTTTTAAGGATATCTTTAATATGAGAAAAAACATTTTTAACAAATTTTATAAAAATGTAACATGTTTTAATGTATTTTAACAGAAACTAATTAATAATTATTGTATTTTCATATAATGACATAAAAATAGTTATAATTAAAAAATAATGGCAACCCTAAAATACATTGAGCACCTTGTATGACACATACAAATATTTGATTATCAGCTTACTAAAGTACAACATAATTAAAGTAAAAAAAAATGTAACAAGCAAAATTAGTATTTACTAATAACACAGCCTACATGAGCTTTTCAGTTTGTACAAGAGGCATACTTGCTAAAGTTATACATACATTTAATATAAGAATAAGAATATTTTTCTTATAATTATGATTTAAATAAGTCAAATACTATACATAAATACTTAACTAAAGAATAGCTACATACAAATCAATATTCAAAATATTTGCTCATAAGCTTACCAAAATGAAACTTATGATAAGTATTATGCTAAATATTACTTAAATTAATTATTAACTTTTAAATAAGCTAAAATAAATTAGTATGATTATATTTTGAAGATAAAATTAAAGCAATTAATATCTTTATTGTGGCACATAATAATACATATTAAAATAAAATATTAACAAGATGATAATAAGATTAAAATAAATTAATCTAAAAAATATTTCATATCCTACTATTTTAAAAAAAGGATTTATCTTTACTTACGCAAGACATTGGAAAATATGTAAGTATATTTTAATTTTAAACACATTATTTAAATTTTACGACTAGTATTTTATAATAATACCAGAATACTTGAATACAATTTAATTATAATGTTTTTATATATAGTATAATAGAATACTAGTTATTTTGAAATTATTATTGTCCAAATATGAATAATTTAAGAAACTAAAACATACTAATTTATTGAAAACATTTTTTAAATAACAACAGTGGAGAAAAAATATATAATAAATAACAATATATCACAATTGTATTAAAATAATAACATGAAAAAATTAAAAACTATGTATAAAATAATGAATTTGAGGCTTTATTAATTAGTAGGCACTTATTTAAATGATTGTTTTGTTTTAATTGTAATATTTAAATCAGTCACTAATTCATAAATATCAATTTAGAGTTGTATTAGATATATTCAAATTGATTTTGAACCATGACACATAATTATTAAATTAATAGTTGTGTTCATAAAATCTACTAACTGTCAGCCTATAATAAATAATAATAAATAATATAAATTCTTTTTAATAAGTCTTTTAAAATAATTTTTTAAATCTATACCCAGTGAATACAATCTGTAATTATAATATAAACCATTTAAATAGATTACTAAGGATAAGTAAATTATTTTACTTCAAGATAGTGAACAGCTATTGGGTGATTGTAAGCTAACTACAGATGCAGAATCAAAATTTGAATTATTTTCTTGTGATTCATCACAATTAGAATTCAGTGAAATTGAAGTATGACAATCTGTTTGAATATGATCAGGGATTTCTGAGTTAGAGTGACTTCCACCAGTGCCTTCACTTATTGATCGAGATCTAGATGATTGTGTAAGAGCACTCGATAGTGAAGATGAAGATCCTTGTGGTGTGACTGTGGGAGCTGGTTGTTTCAATGTTATAATTCGATTTAACACTCCCAATTGTGCTTGACATGTAGACATGAAAGGCCGATATCCAAAGCTAAAAAAAAAATAAAATATAAATAAATATTGCAATTATTTAATTACTTAAATAATAAAACAATATGATGTCCAGAATTAGAGTTCTCAGAAAAATAACTTAAGCGGTAAGGAGAATGTTATATTACTATTAGATATTTAGTTATATATAATATATATTTTTACATACATTAAAATATAAAAATAGTAAGTTATATCATTGATTTTAGAATATATATATATATTCTAAAATCAATGGTTATATACACAATATAAATAAGTACATTTAAGAGTTGCTTTACAAATAAATTAGTCAAAAACAGTAGAACTTACCATTTTTATATTTTAATGTATGCAAAAATATATCTTAACTTTGTCTTATATAGCTAGGTCATAACATTTTTTTTTAAATACTTTTATGAAAGTATCTTTTTTTTCTAAATTCTGAATTTTATTTTTCATTAAATTCAGATGATACAATACAACATACTCAGATATTTCACAATAATATATAAATATAGGTTTACAATTTACCATTCATTACAACTCCATTGATACAATACAATAAATGCTTGTTTTAATCGTGATACAGATTCATAACTGTGTTCTGGAGACCGGGCAATAGAAACAAGTCTTTGAACAGCCAGTGCATCACGAAGAAATACTGATACAATGAAGCTCCATTCCAAACAACCTGCTTCGATTAGTAGTTGTAACAAATATCTGAAAAATAGATCATCATTAATATATTTATAAAATTAATTTAAATATTATAAGAAATAGAAACCTAAGTTGAACTTCGGTTTTTGAAGAATCAAGTGATAAATGCTCATTGGAAAGGTGCTCCATCATATGAGCATTTGGAATAACATTCCAGTTATCAATATTAGATTGGGTTCTCTCTTCATTCCACAGCAAAGCATCTTCTGATTCACTAATAGTACTAGCTTCATCTTATAACAAATCCATGTGTTAAAACATAATAACATAAATGATAAAATTTAGTTATAATTTATTTACTAACCAATGCCTGTGAGGAAACCATCTTGTGGATATTGTGATGAAACTTGAGGAATATCTTGACAACTCATGTAACCACTATCACCTACAGCACTTCCTCCATCTATCCACTTAGGTTTATCTAGATTAAATAATCCACCAGATGGTGGCGGAGAACGTTTCTGGATAGGAGTTAATGGTCTAGTAGTAGAAAAGTCGGAATAAAGACTTCGTAGGGCCACAATGTAGTTATCAATACGAGCTGCTCCGTTGCGTTCTTTGGCTAACCATTCAACTAAATGAAAATCTAACCGGGCAGCAAAATACCCCAATGTTCTTAACTTGTAATTAAATAATAATTTAGCAGCATGCTTTTGAAGAATGGTATCGGTAAAAAATTCTTCCATAATAGAATTACAGGTCGCCATATCCTTTCTAAAAATAATTAAAATAAACACAAAATTTATTACCTGAAATATATACTGGGTAAGTTAATAAAAATAATACAAACCCATTTTCGGATTTTCCATTTGAAAGTACAGATCTTTTTCTTTGTGAACTATTATACTCAGTTCTAGCAAAAGTAGAATTCATATCTATTTTAGGTGTAGTACTGATACTAATACTTCGTCCTCTAACCTGCAAACAATTTTATTTACTTATTAATTATTAATGTATAAACAATTTTACTTGTTTCATAAATTACTTGAATGTTTCCCATTAAAAACGATAAATCTTCTTCATTTGGATTTACTGTACTTCCTTGTCCTATCATACTATATTTTGCAGGAAAAATACATGAAGTTCGAGGAGAATCTGCATCATTTGGATCTACAAAATATTAAAATAGTTTAATTTGTAGACTGAATATATTTCACATAATATTCTTACCAATCGCTTTTAAAAATCTGACAAGGTCTTTAGATAAATCCCATTGGCAACTATCTAGGGCTGAATCTAATAATAAAGTAGCATATTTGTAACTTACAGAAGATGATTCTAAGTTCTTGAAAAAAAAACCATCAAAAGCCATCAAAAAATTAGAAAATTAAATTAGCAACAAATTAAAATTAATAAATTTAGAGTAAAATAATATACAGGATTGAACACAATATAAAGATCAGTGGTTATCAGTCAGTGTGCTTGAGTCAAATGAGATTACATTTTAAAATTGAGTAAGATCAAAAACATTAAATTAAAGTTAAGTATATAACCACTGATACACAAGATACCAGTGATAAGTAAATAATTTTAATATATGTATTTAGGAAAGAGAAATAAACTGTAAAAATATTTTTTTTTAAAAAGCCCACAAGTAATGTATTTCTCACCCGCATTTTATTGTACTTATAACATAAAAAAAAATAAAAAAAGGTTGCCTATCATTGTCAATATATTTTTTTATTATAAATAAAATACTAACTTGGAGTATTATAAGATATGAAGCAGCAGTATTTAAATTTTGTCTTTTCAGGCATTCTTGAAATAAATCTTTAGGTTTACCAGCAGCAGAAAATAAATATGGCCACAAAGCAATTTCAGTTTTACGAGCACATTGAACTACAGTTTCTAAATATAGATTGGGAAATTCTTGTATAAATTCTATAACGCTAGGTAATTGAGCATCTGGTATTGGTTCTTTACTAGTGGCTTCTTCTTCCAAAACCTTAAAAAAATATAAAAATATAATTACTTAATTTGAATTTTTTGAAGAATTTTTAATAATAAATCTTATTTGGTTAGTGAACTACGAATGAATTATCACATACTTCATGTAACAAAAGTTCCAAAGAATGAGAAAAATACGGCAAATTTGTGCAACATCTAGCAACTTCCCACGCATGAAAACCTAAGTTCCGACGTATCAATTGTCTTAAAATTTGGTGTAAATAAACTTGGCTCTAAAATATGAATTAATGATGACAATTTGATCAATAGATTATATATTTTAATTAATATTATTTACCGTCCTTTCAATTTGACAAAAAGGTAAAGAAAAAACGGTAGAAATATCCGATGTGTAGAGTAATGTATCATTTTCAGTACCTAATAATATAGCATCTTCAAAAAGTATAGCTGAAAATAAATAAATATAAAATTATTAGTTATACTATTTAAATTAATGTAAAAATATTGTTTATTGAGTTCTCACAGAACATTAAATTAAATGTTATTAACTTTTGCACATTTTTTTAGGTTTTAATAACAACATAACAAATTTTCAGAATTAATTTTTATAGTTGGTATTAATAGGCAAACCAATTTAAGTATAGGCTATTGTCAGATTTACAAATAAATTATTAAACACTGCTGAGATCTAAGTCAAAAAATGTTATAATATTCCAAAGTTATTTTTTAGTGGTTATAAATATTTACTAATAGAAAACTCAAACATAAAAATAGTTGCCCACTCAAAACATTTTTTTTAGTTTGTATTTTGGTAATCAACTACAGTTATTATGCTTATTAACAGTTTTAATAAAATGTTGAAACATACCTAATGGATAAATCTTAAGTTGAAATGGCAACATAATTCTTTTGGACATAAAAGTATGTGATTTATCTCCATTTTTTGGAAATAAAGGAAGCCAAACTCTCATTCCATGAGCTCCACAAAATAACCAGAGAGCTTCAGTTAGATGGGGTTTATCACGATGGTATTGACTAGAAACCCAAGCATTTTCAACACAGGATGCCAATAAAATTGGAGATGGAATAACTTGTGACTAAAATAGGATTAAAAATAATAAAATTATACTTTTAAAAAATTCTCATAAAAAAATATGAATATGTTAGTATAAATAATTAACACTTTATTTATTTTATTTTTATACCTAAAATATAAAAACAAATAAAATTATATGGGTCAATTAAATGTTAAAACTTCAATCTGAAATTATTTGAGTGATATTCAGATTCATTTTAGACTTCTTATATACACTATAAATATTAAATATCAAAACTAAAACTAAAACAATACCTGATCATCACAACTTTGTTGATTTACTAACAATAAATTTCCATTAATATTAAGTAAAAAATTATCTCTGAAAATTGAGCCTTTAATTTTTGGTTCAATACGAAGTGTGGTAAGTAAAACAGAAACAACACAAGTGGGATGTATGCATAAAGCTGACATATCAATAGTTTGTACTCTATCCAATATTGCTAAAATTAAATTATAAAATTAATACAAATAAATATTAATGAGTTTAATTTAAAATTACCCATATTGTGGTTAGGAGACAGTTCGATATTGAATAAATTAACTATACCATCAGAACAAAAGACAGCTAAACGGTTGCCCAAACAATCGAGCAATAAAGCTTGTCCAGTTAATTGGTATGAAATCATATTATCATTAGATAATCTTGAATCACCATTATATATTCGTACTTGATGTTCATCTTCAGGCACACTGTAACATCCACATACAACATAGCATCGCCACCATAGAACTCCACCAGTTACTATCATATCTTTTTCTTGAATTTCATTTCCAAATAATTTCCAACGATGTGTTATTAATGAGTAATGTGCAAGACCATAACGACCAGCTATTGCGATGTGTTTACCATCATCATCTATACAAGATGTCTAAAAATATTTTGACAGAAATTAATTAAAATATCAAATAAATATTAAAAAAAATAATCTCTTTAATTTACTCGAATTGGCCAATTAGTTCCCAAATATGGAGAAGGTGCATATACAATTATCCACTGTTTATTGTCAACTAAAGCACTAGTAATAGTTAATTGGTCTTTAGTTTTGTTATTAGATTGAGTCATTTTATAAACTTTGGTAAGACCAGATGTTACATTTAAATAAAGTTTATCTTCACCTTGAAGATATAAATGTGGACGATGGCTCTAAAAAAAAAAAAAACAAAGGAAAATTAAAATAAATTTCAATAATTGGTAGCTATATTAAATAGCAAATTAATAAACCAATTTCTACAATGATTAAAATGGGAAATAATTATACTTATGTTAGTTATTAGCAATAATTAATCTAATATTAAAAAATTACCATTGTTGGGTTGACAGCTAAAGCACTTTTTAAAAATGACATTTGTAATACTGTGTCAACATGTGTATCTTTTGAAGCTCTATTAATCATCCACAGCTGATAGCCTTCAATACACCAATCCATAGACATAATATTGAGTGGATTTCTAGAACTCAAGTCAACATTCACACTGAAGTTCCATGCTAAAGAGCAAACTAATAGAGCTCCAAATGTACTCCATACAGCAAAACCACCATTTTCCCAAGCCATTACTAAAGCACAGCCATCAGGTGTCCACCGAGTACATCGCACAGAACCTAATCCTCCACCTGGCCATACTTGACTGGGTATAACAAGGTTATGAGATAATTGTAAGCCTCCAGTACGTTCATCAAGACCAAATACTACACCCTGGGAACTATAATGAAAAATAAATAAAAATTTCATAAGTTTTTAATCTAATTAATAAGTGTAACTTACTTTCTCAGTCCGTAAGCAATAAGTCTATATTTATGATTCAAACTTGTACATGTGGCAGTATCAATATTAGGAGCCCAAATACCTTGAACTTGCTATTTGATCAAAATAAATATGTTATTAGGTATTATTTTAAAATGGTTAAAATTTTTGTTTCAATTATTTCTTACATTAGGGTCAAATTTTAAAGAAGAGGCTGTAAGCAAAGCTGCACGACCATCATTCAAAATAATTCCAAACCCTCCAACTAATGGTGAATATTCTATGTCAACAATATAAGTATTTTTGGTAGTTAATGGTGCGGCTATTAAATTGAAACATACAAAAATATTCACAATAAATATTAAAACAAATATAATAAAATACGGAATAGTTCACCATTTGAAACATGTAGATCAACAGAAAATGGCGTTCTTCGTAGATCTAAACAGTAGTCTCTATTGATCGAACCATTCCAAAGATATCGTATAACATGTCCTTTACAAGTAGATACCATTAATTCATCACGAATACAAGCTATACAACCTACTCCACCATCAACACAAGCTATTTGATTCTATACAAATTAAAAAAAAAAAAAATCAATGTAAAATTAACAATACATGTTTAAAATATTATATTACTTGTTTAATATGTAATGCTGGTATAGTCTCCTTCACAAATAGCTCATCATTTTCTCTTTTCAAACTAGAAATATGTGAATCTTCTAAGTGATATAAACTTCCAGGATCACCAATAATACTTAAATTGTAAAATATTAAATAACCTTTTGTAGTCTTTAAAAAAAAAAAAATACATAAATCATATTTACTGGTAAATAAATTATTATAAAACAAATAATACTAACCACTACAACCAACATACTAGAATCTGGCCGCCATTCTATACGTAAATTAAAACCAACTTCTTCAAGACTTTGTGTAGATCTTGTGTAAGTAGTAATTTTTACACAAGGCTGTACAATAATAAATTTAATTATTTTTTTAATCAAAAATATAGACAATATTAATATTAAGGTTTAAATTAATAATAATAAACAATTGATTAAGTATTTTCTCTTATAATAAACTAATATCTATTATAATCATAAAAGATAATTAATAATAAATGATTAAAAATAAATTAAGCTTAAAAGATTAAATATGTCATCAGAGGTAGATAGGTAATTTTTTTGTTATAGGGAAATATTTTAATGAGACCACCAAAATGAAAAAAAAAATTGCTTATAAAAAATATATTATATTTACTCATTCTAAATTAATTTAAATAATTTAACTATAAAAAAAAAAAATAATAAATTTCCATGAAAAAATTAATGGTATTGAGGGGGCCACAGAGAAAATTCCTTTTTTCCTATGAGCCTATCCACCCCTGTATGTCATGTTAAAATTTTAAGTAGTCATATTATTTATTATAGTAAAAGGATAAATAGAAGAATATTTTAAAATTAAATGTTAAAACAAAAGTATACTTCATAAATAAAATTAAAAATATAATACAAAGTAAATTGCCAAAGATGAAACTGTAAGAAATAAAAAAAAAAATCCAGAAAAAACACATTTAGTTGTATACTGACAAGTTTCCGATTAACCTATAAATGATTTATAGTATAATCTTAAAATGTATAGATAATACCAAATAATATTGCTTTTAAGGATATTTTTTATCATCTAGAGTCTGAGTAAGATAGAATACTTTTAATTTTGATGAATAAATAATATCTTTTTGATTTATACTTATTAATCTTATACAGTTGCGTACACAAAAAAAAATAAATATTTGGGAGGATTTAGATTGTACATTTTCCTACTAGTATAATCTATAAAACACTTTTACTCTATAAAAACATGCTTAATAATTTTCCTGAATTTCAGTAAGGAGGAGTTGAACTCCAAATCCCCCCCTTGTGTATATGCCTGATAAAAATAAGACAAGGGCTGAACTATATTGATTTTAAAATGTTTGGGATGCAACTGATAATCATACAATTTAAAACAATGACAAGATAAAACCATTCTATTTGTTTTTTTATCAGTAATAGTTCAAATAAATATAACTACCATTATATACTATCTCAGTTTTAATAATAGTACATAATATAGTTAAAGAAATGTATAGGTTATAATGTTCTCATAATTATTTATCTATTGTATACCTAGATAAAAAATAATAAATAATGCAGCGAATTAATTGAATAATAAGCAATTATAATCTTTATTATGCTTAGGATAATAATGAAATATCTAAAAAAAGGAGAAATAGAACAAAACACCTATTTCAAAATATTAAGTATAGTAAGAAAAATATTCTAATGTTAGTAATAATTTTAATTTTAATTGTTTCATATAGACTATATATATACTACATAACTTAATAAATAAGTATTAATAGCAGATATTTCTGATACTTAATCAATAATTATTTAACGACTAGGTGATGACCTATTTTAAAGCCAATATAGTTAAATTAATAATACTTAAATTACAATGGTACAACAGCAGATTTTAATAGAACATCAAACAATAATCCAGAAAGTCAAAAAAATGTTTTGCATTGAGCAATCAGAAAAGTATGATTTCTAATAAAAAAAAATTATTAAATATTAAAGAAATACAATTGGGATATACTTTGGTGGATGATATGGCTATATATTAATCTGACAAGTATAAGAGCATATGCAAAAGTAGAAAACGAACAGCTTGGAGACAAGATTGGTTATTTTAACCGGTCAGTATACGGCATTGATGACATTCAAATGCGGACGTATTTCTTACCTTGCAGAACCAGATCTCCAACCGCTGGTTGGTTAACACGGCAAACAGAATCTTTTCCCTGTTGCAGATCACTTGGAAGAGGGTGTCGGCTGCGTGCACTGGTGCCAAGACTTTCGGCCATCCCACTGGGAAGTACATCGCTTTTGTGCTGGGAAACCGTGGTGTGCACACGTCGTCGTTGTCGGTCCACTCACTCGAAACGACGGTCCATTATGAACGTCTGACTAGTGTTGATATGACATCCTTGACGACACACGTAATACTGCTACGTTGGCGTCACGTCGTCCGCGAGGGATTCACTAACGTCGACAATAACCCGAATTCCCCGTCTGTTATCAAAACCTATGCCCACGGAGTAAATAATGAACAACAATAATAATAATAATGTTGTGTTGTTTAGTTGCTGACAGCACGGAGAGCGTTGAATGATAACGTATCACGAATGTGTGTGGTTCGTGTTAGCCGTGGTTTGTGGTTACTTGGTGCATAGTCACATCGTGATAATCGCATTCGCCCGGCGCGCTATGATCTCAGTTTTTGAAACATCTGGGTGTTGTTGAATAAGAAATTCGCAAGCGCAAATTGCACTACAGCCGAACAGTTGGGTAGATATTGCCTTTGAAACATAATCAAAACGGTGAGCTTTAGCATAGATTTTATTATTGTTGTACACTATTAACCATCGTACTTTATACTGGCATGAAACTCGGCTCCATTTTCACAACAAACATGTATGCATATAATATGCATTTATTTAATGTTGCAATCACGCTTTAAATGCCGTAGAAACATATAAAGATAGCGCGTATTATTATATATTTATAGGAAAACGTTCGATACACTAACTCATCAACGTCCAGATCCTACATGTATTTAAGTTTTATCAATATTATTATTATTTTTCATTATTTGTATATTTAAAACGTTCAAGCTTAATTATATGAGTAGACATGCGTCTATAATTACAAAGATTTTTTCTTTTTACAGTGACTGATTTAATATCCAAGGAAACAAGGAATTTTATATTTATTTCAAAAGGCTACCCATGAAAATACAAAAATATAAATTTCTGGATTTAACACTAATCTACCGATAAGGGAGTAAAAAAAGGTATCTTGAGATCATGATGGATAGCGTACTTTCTGTTGACAGTGTTGGATCTAGGAAATTTGACGCATAGGTTTACTAAAATCAACTACAAATCAAAAATGCAAAAATTTCAAAATTTCAAGCAGGCCATTCTAAAATGGTATTTGACCATATAAAAATATGATCATTACCCAGTTTTTAACTTTTTCATATATTATGAACAGTATATCAACATAAATTAACAGTTACAAATCAACCGTTATCGCGAACGCACGTGCCTCGCGTGTTCTGTTATCGTTGTTCCCGGCCACAGTTTTGCAGCAGGTATATTCTATTCAATCAGGTACTTACATTGCATTATATCTTCATTATACTTCTACCATGTCACTAAAATCTCCTACTAAGCTCAGTTCTGATTCTGATGCTAAAATCGATAAACTTGTAGAAATGGTAACTGGCATAAAAAATTCGCAAAATAAAATCGTTACAACTTTAAATTCATGTCGCGAATCAATCAAAATCCAGGAAAACAAATTTATATCTTTTGAATCCAAAATTGAATTACTAACTACCCAGCTGTCAGAAGCGATTGAAGAAAATAAATTATTAAAACTTAAGGTTGAACAGCTAGAAATTAAACTTTCAGAGGTTGAGCATTCTAAGTACAATGCATCTTCGAGTCCTTCTGTTCAGGAAAATGTTTTTTCTGAAATTATGGACCGACAATCGAGAGTTCGCAATATTATCCTGTTTAATGTTCCTGAATCTTCAAATCCTGCTACTGATCAATTCAATGACTACTCTTTTGTTAAAAATATACTTGATACCATTGGTGTGTCAGTAAACCAAATATCCGTACGTCGCTTGGGTAAAGCATCTAATAAAGTGCGTCCCTTACGTGTTACACTCTCCGATGTTTCATTTGTTTTTGATATTTTAAAAGTAAAACGAAAACTTCTAGATGTAGACAGATTTAGTTCAATTCGCATTTCCTCAGATCAAACCCCACTACAGCGTAATTATTTTGCATCAATTTTATCGGAATTAAAAACAAGGAAAAATGCTGGCGAAAACAATCTCTACATCAAATATGTTAATAGCATGCCAACTATTTCAAAAAACGTCCAAGCAAACATACGTCATTAAAAGATCTATCTACAAATTATCAAAACGTCCGTGGAATTAAAACCAAGCTTAATATTCTTACCCAAAATCTTGCTCTGTCTGATTACGATATTATTATACTAACCGAAACCTGGCTATTAAGTGATATAATCGACGCTGAACTTGGACTTTGCTCTAACTATCAAATTTATCGCTGCGACCGATGTATCACACGAGACATAATAACGAAATTGATAATATTATGTGCAATAATTCAAATTCTAAATTCTTAATTATCGGTGATTATAATCTTCCGAATATTAAATGAGTATCAACATATAACTACTCTACTCCAAATTTATTAAATCTAAGTAATGTAGACTCTAATATATTAGCTGGTTTTTCTTATCTTAATTTGCTACAATACAACTTAGTATATAATCGTTCTGGCTCTTTATTAGATCTTGTGTTCTCTAATGCCGATAATGTAAATGTATCCTCAGTTATATATCCACTTATACCATTAGATCAAATGTATCATCCTGCATTATTAATTAAATCATCAGTTATGTTTATAGAATCTTTAGATTATAAGGAAAAAATATACGATTTTATAAATTGTGATTATTATAACATTATATCTGACTTAGCTTCGTTGGACTGGAATGGCATATTAGATTGCTCGGATGTAAATGTTGCTGTTGAAATATTTTATAAAAATATTCTCAAAATTATCAATTTACGATGTCCAATAAAATATTTATACTTGCCTAAATATCCTTTGTGGTTTAGTACTCGATTAAAGCAATTAATATTTAAAAAAAAAATCGCTCATTTAATTTATAAAAGATCGCCTACCCAAATTAATTACAATTCATTTTCAAATATACGAGCTCTTTGTAAGAAACAAAATAAATATGATTATAACACTTTTATTTTAAACACGCAAAATTCCATCATTACTAATCCAAAATTATTCTGGAAATACATTAAAAGTAAACGCTCAAATTCTACTCTTCCGGCTTCTATGACACTTAATAATTTATGTTACTCTGGTGGTGATGCTATTTCAAATGCATTTGCTCAATACTTCTCTAGTATATATAGCCAACAATCAATTAAAGTAAATATGCCTAATAACTGCAATCTACACTCTATTGACCTTAATTCTTGCATTCTAAATCTGATGTGATGTTTACGAAGAACTTAATAATCTAAACAATAAAACATGTGCTGGTCCAGATAATATTTCAAATATATTTTTTGTTAAATGCAAATTTGTACTATCTGTCCCCTTACTAAAACTATTTAATCTCTCACTATCATCGGGTATTTTTCCTGATAATTGGAAAGTCAGCTATATTTCCCCAATTTTTAAGGGTGGTGACGTTAACCAGGTAACTAACTATCGCCCCATCTCGATAATTTCAATCATTCCTAAAATATTCGAAAGCATCGTTTACAAAAAAATTAATCCATTATTTAAAAACATAATCATAGATGATCAACATGGTTTTGTTTCAAATAAATCTACGGCTACAAACCTCCTAGTATTCCAACACTATGTTCTAGATGCATTTAAATTAGGGCATCAGGTAGATGTTATCTATACAGATTTTTCAAAAGCGTTTGACAAGATAAATCATAAAATACTCTCAATAAAATTATATCACCTAGGTCTTCGTAATCCTTTTCTCTCATGGGTGGTTTCATTTATATCAAACAGGAAACAGTATATTAAGTATAAACATTTCTGCTCAAGTTATTTTACTGTTACGTCAGGTGTCCCTCAAGGGTCTCATTTGGCACCACTTTTATTTAATCTATTCATTAATGATATTAAATTTTCTGAATCTCGTATGTTATTATATGCCGACGACCTAAAACTATTTCGTATCATTAAAAATTCAAATGACTCTGAGTTATTACAAAATGATTTGAATTACCTAGATAATTGGTGTGACTTTAATAATTTATACTTAAATGTCTCTAAATGTAAAGTAATGACCTTCTCTAAAAAACGCACTCCATACTTACATAACTATCACTTTAATAATTCTAAATTCATCCGCGTCTACCAAAATAAAGACCTAGGTGTACTGTTCGACACGTCATTAACATTTAATTCCCACTATATTAGTATCCAGAATAAAGCTTCCTCCTTTCTAGGTTTTATTAATCGTAGTTGCCAGGACTTAAAAAATCCAACTGCATTGAAAGCGTTATATTGCTCACATGTACGATCAGTACTAGATTATAACTCAATAATTTGGTCACCTGCACGTTAGGTCCAAAACAAATACTTGAATCGATTCAAAATCGTTTTTTAAGAATAATATCCTTCAGATGTGAAATTTTCCGCCAGCCTCACTCTTCTTATCAGCCATTGTTAACTTTCTTAAATCTCGAACCACTGGAAATTCGAAGGAAAAAGTTTGATCTCTCCTTTGTTTTTAAATTATTAAATGGACAAATAAACTGCCCAATTTTATTATCTAAATTAGATTTTTCAGTTCCAAGTCGCAACACTAGACAGTCAAGCACTTTTTATGTTCCATTTCAGTTCACGAATTATGGTTTAAATACTCCTATTATTAGATGCATGCAATTAGTTAATAAGTATAATGTTGATATATTTTCATATGTAACTGTAAATACTTTTAATTTGTATCTAAATAGCATAATTTTCTAATTCATAACAAACTGTATTTTACCTATGTTTCTTGTATCTGGGCAACTGCCCGTATAAATAAAAAAAAAAAAAAAAAAAAATAATAAAAAAATATTAACATACGCAATGGTTCGGCGCCATTGCGTGTAACCCTGCTGGCTCGTTGGATGGGCTTCCATTATGATTATTATTTTTTTTTCGTTGCATACCTATATCTTTTTTTTTTTTAATGTTATGTGTATTACATATTAGTTTTCAGGTAAAATAATTAATT